TTTATCTAAATGGAGTGTTTAGCCCTCCAATGAGCAAGAAAGAAGAGAAGTATGATAACATGGACATCTCAGGGAAGGATGTTCAGGTTGATAATGGCTATGTTAATAATCATCAGAAAGATGTGAATCAACCTGGTTCATCATCTACCAGATCAAACAGAAGCACACAAAACAAGGACACTAAGGTTCGAAGACCAGTTGATATTGAATCTGTACCCGAAGTAGCTCTTGATGACATTGCAATCAAAGCAATGATATCTATTTTGAGTGGTTACATTAAAAGTTTTCTCAAAGATCAAGATTTCAGGACATCAATGTACCACAACTGCTTTGCTGCTATTAATTTTTCTAAGTTAGAAGAAGAAATAGTTGCTGAAAGCAAAGTTATATCGAATCTCGACCAAGCCATAGAAACAGTTGAAAAAGCTGCAGATAATCGCGCCACTACAAAAGAGCTCAAAAAAGCTTCTTTACAGCTTAGTGTGATCACAGGTCTAAATGCAAATGATCTAAAGGATGGAATTACCTCCGGAATTCCTAATTCCATTCTTTCAGCTTGTGGCCACTTGTACTTAAGTGTGGTATATCAGTTACAAAAGAAAGAAAGGATAGCAGCTAAGCATCTTTTGCAGATTTTCTGTGATTCACCATCTGCAGCTCGATCTGTTTTGGTACCTGAGTTATGGGAAACTGTATTTCACCCTCATTTATCACATTTAGAAGAGTGGTATAACCAAGAAGTTGAATCTTTATCTGATGACCCACAGAATACAAGGAAGCTAAAGCAACTTAAGAAAGTGTATAATGAGATTTTGGATACGGGTACTTACCAATTTGCATTGTACTATAAAGATTGGCTCACAGATGGTGTTGAAGCTCCCTCAATTCCTTCCATCCATGTTCCATCTGTTTCTGTTCAGGGGAGTCAGCATGAGGTCAGCCCACCATTTTCATCACAGTCTATGGTCAGCAAGAAGTTATATGATTCTGTATTTGGGCGGATGAATAAGCCAGTAATTGCTGAAGTGGAAGACTATCAATATTCACAAAGATCAGATGATGATATATGTAGCTTTGATGAGTCTGTAGTGGAAGATAAAAGGACATTGACATACCCTCTGGAAGAAGATATATACAAAGATTTAGATGTTAAAGGGGATGTGGTACCTTATCAGGTAAGTTTAGTCCTAAATTTTGATTTAGCATGTCATTAGTCGTTTCACATTAATATTCTCCATTGTAGCAGGATGTAATAATAGCAAAAGAAGAAGGTTTGGAGAGCACTAAAATGTTAGAATCACTTCCAGTTGCAAAAGTCAATGAACTTACTCTCAAGAGGCTAGCAACATATGTCTTTGCACTGCAACAATCCGAGAAATCTGCTGATTTAGATGATGCAAAATATCCTGATTTTTTGGTAATTATATTGAAACAAACATTGATCCTAAGTGCAAAACTTTATAGTTTTATACAATAGTACAATACCCTTTGTTTTTATTCACCCTAAAAGTACATTTCTCTTTTTTTATGCAGCCAATGAAAACAAGGCCATATGGTGATGGAGGAGGGTGCTTTTACTTGAATACCCCTGAGGATTATGTATGCCCTTTAACCGGACTTCTTTTTGAAGATCCTGTGACTATAGAGACTGGTCAAACCTATGAGCGTGAAGCTATTGTACAATGGTTTAATAAAGGCAACACAACATGTCCTGTAACTGGGAAAAATCTTGAATGCCATTTTGTCCCATTCACAAACTCTATCTTGAAGCGAATGATTGATGGCTGGAAATCAAAGCACTCCAGGGAGATATTAGCTTCTGCTTCTCAGCCCACAGGAAGCCATGGGGAACAGAAATATAAAGCTGAAGCAACTGTTTTCATATTAGAGCAGCTTCTTACTGATTTTGGCACAGAGGAAAATACAGATAATGCCAAACAGTTACTTGCTCTTGGGGGCTTACAGTTTCTCATTCAAAGATTTGAGTATGGAAATTTGGATGAGAAGACTCGTGTAGCTGCATTGCTGTCCCACTGTATTAAAGTAGACCCTAGTTGCAGAAATCATGTGGCTAGACACATTGAGAAGCAATGTCTGCTTGAGTTGCTTCACTGTAAGGGAGTAAAATCAAGAGCAAATGCTGTGTTTCTGCTGTTTGATCTCATTTGTCTCAACAGGTATTTCAGTTTCAACTTTCAAACCTCTATGTTCTTCTTCTTTCTGTTAAATTAATAACATTTGTCCATGTGTGCGACTCAAGGAGAAAAGATGTCCAGTTTTTCTTAAATCGCTTGCACAAGGAAGGTATAGTGAGCTCGATGCACATTTTGTTACTCTTTCTTCAGAGCTGTTCACCAGAGCAAAAACCCTTGGTTGCTGTGCTCCTTTTACACCTGGACCTAATGGTATGTTTTGTTTGTTGTTTAACCTGTTTGCTTCTTTTGAGAGGATACTAAAATTAGTTAAACATATGTGCAAACTGACAGGTAGATCAACAACAGAAGTACAGTATATACAGAGAGGAAGCTGTTGATACCATTTCATCTGCTATGGATGCCAGCCTTTGTAATGAAAAGGTGCGAGAAGCTTGTTGCAAGGCACTCCTTATCTTGGGAGGGCGTATCTCTTTCTGTGGGAAGGTCATGACAGAGGATTGGATCTTAAAGAAAGCTGGTTTCTTTGATAGACCTGATTCATCAGACAATAAAATCACAATCAAAGATAACGTATTGATGGTAATTTGATTTCTCTTTCTGCAAGTGTTACAGTATATGCTTTGGGACGATTGTGAAATTGGTTATGAATGTAGGATACTGAGGAGGAAGAGGCTGTTGAAGATTGGTTAATGAAATTGTCGGAATCTCTAATTGGTGATGGAAAGAAGTTGTTTTTGGAATCACTTTCTCAGGGTTTGAGTTGTGGACACAGGGAGATGATGAAGGTGGGGTTGACAACGGTGGTGTGGTTAAGTTCTTCACTTGCTTCATTACTTGATTCTGAAGCTAAATTGTCTGCTTTTTCGGTTCTTATCTCTAAACTGAAAGAAACCATTGAAAATAGTGAATGGGTAGAGCACAAGGTTCTTGCTGCAGCGTCTCTGCTAAATTTTAGCAAAATCCCAGGTTAGTATTTTGCAAACACTTCATTGGCATTGATTTTTTGTATAGGCATAAAAATGGAGAAATTTTGCTAACACTTGAGCTATTAAACATAAAGGATAAACCCAAAGAAAGTGCGAGTATGATAATCCCCAAGATCTTAAAGTTAGGAGCGACATTTGATGCACTTTTTTATAGACCCTCCATAATCTGATATGAAGTAACAGATTTAAAAGACACAATCACTCAAGAAGGATAGTAATAAGCAACAATTAAACACCAAATAATTGCTTAGTATTCAAGATAGTAAGTATCACACATTCGAGAGGGGGAGCTCGCTAGGTTCACAAAGAAGTTTGTACAAAATATTTCCCTACCTTTCTCTACCTTCTAACAACTATATATACTACTAGGAACACCAGACCACAAACCATTAACATAGTACTATAACTGCTGAAAAAGCCTGGAAATTATCCCCCAGCTCCCTTCTTGTGGGAAAACAGAAGTAGTGGACAAGCGGTTTTTGAGCTAATTCTTAGGATCAGTTAATTAACTGTGTTTAGCTAACTAGTTTTCAGAGGGCTTTGCAGTTTGTTTTCGTTCGTTCTCAGACTCAGTTCTGTAATTGGAGACTCAACCCCTCTCGAATCGGGGCTTATCATTTTCAATTTAAGTATTAATTGCTTGCTATTTCCTTGGATTCTGTGAGAAGGATGTGTTGTAATTTTAGAGAGAAGAGAGGAGTAATTGTTTTAGTTTTGATACCATGTAATTGTGATATTTTGTTTTCCTCTAATAGTCTCATAGAATAACATAGGGTTAGCCTAGGTTAATAAAAGATCTAAGACTAGGCTGAGATACATAGGGCCGGACAGTAAATATAATGCAAATATACAATATTATCTACACTAGGCCTACCTAACAAGAAGAAAATGTGATACCACTGGAAATGATATGAAGGAACTGTTTTTTTTGTTGTCAATTTGTAATGAATAGAAAGACTGACCGTGACTGACAAATGAGTTGCAGATTGCATGGAGCTATTGATGGCAATTGGCGATGAGATTGCAGCTCCTCTCAGAAACCTTTCAGAAGCAAGCTTTACTGCAAAACAATTGTATGCCTTCATCTCTCACTCTCAGTCAGGAAGATAGATCTGGTTTATGCAGTTGACCTTTCTAATTTTCTGCTTGAGATCATACAGGCTACAGCCATCCATGTTTTTTTGCTGATTTTAATCTGTAAATGTGTATATAGCTAAGCTACTACGCTCTCTCCCTTTTTTTTTTGACTGGATTCATATTGTTTCTACTCTACCATTACTCTTTTATGTGTACATTAATTAAGTTGCGTGCGCCCTTTGTTTTGTTCCTAGTAAAATACTAATAAATTAAGTAGCCACAGAATTTTTATATTTGTTCTAATTATATTGGTTTTAAATCAAATTAACTAATAACCACACGTAATTAATATGAGCAACAAACACTAGGAAAATATAATTTTACTAGAAGCCAATTTTAATATGATGACTTCATCGATAAATCTTTTCGTTTTGAAAATATAAATTCGTAACTTTTAAGCTAGTACAAGGTACCATTAACATCAAGAACATATCATTATCGCTATGTGACAAAATGGCACCATCTAAATACTATCAGTACAATTACGGAATGTAATTGCATCCCACAAGAATTCATGGATAATACGGATTTAGTTGAGAGACCTTTTCAATGATGGACCAAAAGTTCTTTGGTAGTTGTTTCACACTTGTCTTAAAAGAAGGAACTACTCCATGTTCATTAAACTAACAAAATACCAAACACTCAAACACTACATTTAAACCACAACCACACAAACAAAAACACAACCTAACCTTAATTCCTTAATCTTTAATTACTTAATTCACATCTTATTCTTATACCAAAACACTCCTCCTCCCTCTCCCTCCGCTTCCACAAACAAACACTCCTTAGCCTCCCTCCACATGGCAACATAAAACGGCGTCTCATCCAACTGATAATACTCCCCAAGCACCGGTCTCGCAGCTTTCGTCGCCTCCATCGCATTATAATGAGGCATCGTTGAAAACAAATGGTGCACCACATGTGTATCTGTAATATTATGAAACAACTTATTCAACACACCGTAATCCCTATCCACCGTCGCCAACGCCCCCCTCAGCCAATCCCATTCCGACCCGTCATAATGTGGCAACGACGGGTGTGTATGTTGAAGGTAAGTAATCAAAACCAGGAATCCATTCACAATCAGCAACGGAATCCCGTAGACACAAATCACCCAACTCACGCCTTTCAATACAGCAACACGGTAGAGGAACAAAGACATGGTGATGATTCCGACGTCGGAGAGCCAGATCTGGAGGCGTTCGCGGTCGTTGTAGATAGGGCTGTTGGGGGAGTAGTGGCAGGCGAAACGGTCGTAGGGTCTGCCGGAGACGTTGAAAGCTAGGTATAACGGCCAGCCTAGAGTGAGGGTGGCGAACAGGCTCATCATTCGGCCCGGTGGGTTGTTTAGGTATTTTGAATACCATGGGATTTTGGATCTGGGCTTTGGGACGAACACTTCGTCGCGTTCGAGTGACCCGGTGTTGGAGTGGTGGCGCCGGTGGCTGTATTTCCATGAGAAGTAAGGTACGAGGAGGGCGGAGTGGAGGAGAAAGCCCACGGTGTCGTCAACCCATTGGTAATCGCTAAATGCGTGGTGACCGCATTCGTGGGCTAAGACCCAAACGCCGGTGAGAACACAACCTTGAACAACCCAGTAAGCTAACCATGCGAGGGAGGAGAGAGGCGTTGGGAGGCGGTGGAAGTAGGTGGTGGCGATGTGGTAGAGGAGGAAGCTGATAACAAGGTCGTAAATGACGTAGGAGAAGGAACGGGTGAGGGAACGGTTGAAACAGTGGGGAGGGATGGCTTTTTTGATATCACTGATTGTGAAAGGAGGTTTTGCACAAGGGACTCGCTTCAAAGGATTCTTCTTTTCTTCGGGTTTTGTTTCAGAAACAGACATACATCCTCCTGCTCCCATTTTACCTCTTCACCAGATCCTTCAACCTGCAAGATGTTTAATATGAAGCATCAATTATGGAAATTACTTATCGAAACTTGAAAGCAATATACAGGTGTTTATATCTTTGAGCAATTGCCATTTGTCGATGATATCAATGATTATGTAAGCTTAAGAACCTCAACAACAAAATATGAAATAAACGAATTGAAAGCTTAGGACTGTAATTCACAGATCTATTCGTCGATTGAAATAAACAATTCATCGTTTTACAGATATAACAGTAGGTATTTAATAACATCACTGCCGAAGAACTATTTCAACAGTTGTCATCCGTCTGTGACTATATTAAGGAAAGCAGAGAAAATCTAAAAAGTTCTCCCAAAGCATTTATCGCAAAAATTATGAGCAAGGTAAGAACACAAACATACGATAGATTCCATCCTCAATGCTTAATAGAATTAAGAACTCAAATCCAAGCAACAGCAAAAATTATGGATTTTCATTCAATAAGTAAAAAAAACAAAATTTCATGCAACATAGATAAATGCTCAAATTTTAAGGAAAAACCGAATCAAATGAACCGAATTGAAAGCGCAGAAGACTGTAATCCACAGATCTATACATCATTCTATAATGCAGCTATATCTAAAATCAAAATGAAACCGCGATAATCATTGATTTTTTTCGAGGACAATAATCGAAACATAATCTATACGCACATGCATTGATTAGATCAAAAGGAGAAAGATATAGATTATAGACCTGAATCGATCAGGTTAAACAGCCCTAGGCTTTTCACTTGAAACAAGCGTTTACTCTCTCAATCTCCTCCCTGCGTGCGATGGACTGTTTCTTCAATTCCCTTCACAGAATACATAGGTGATAGGTGGTTTAAATAAAAGAAATGTTTCAGAAGACACCCTTGAGGTTTTATCAGTTTGACGAAAGAGCCTTGATAAATGAACATTGGTCCAACAAACACGTATATTGTTTAAAAACGGCAAATTTAACATTTGCTTGGATTTCGGAAAAACTAGGAGTGATTTTTTTTTTTTTTTTTTCATCAATGCGATTTCAGATTTAGAAAATTTCTAATCAATTCAAATTGATGGTAATGATGACTTTTCTCAGGTGAACAGATGACAGAAAAAACCGATGATATCACTTTGCAGAAAAAACCGTTAATATGACTTTCATTTTAAGGGGTTTATTCAGTACTTGTTGTGAATTGGACTTCTATTTACTATCATCATCGTTTGTTATGATTAGACAAAACTGCGAAGATGATCCTGTGTTATGTATTTTTTCTGAGATTTGTTCCAAACCTCGATTTTTTTGGATTGAGGTCCTTTTGAGCTAGTTTTTTTTTTTTTTTTTTTTTTTTATTTTTTATTATTTGGTTCCTCAGAAAACTAAAAAAAAACTAAAATGGCCTTTTATTTTTATTTTTATATTTTTTAATACTTATTTTTATATTTTATTAATTAAAATACAAGAGAGGACCCACCTCTCTCTCTCTCTCTCTCTCTCTCTCTCTCTCCATTGCTTCGAGACTTGTACAATACATATTCTTGTAGCTTCATCTTCTCCAAAAAGCCAAACCCACTTTGACCTTGAATAATCATCATCTCCATCAGAGTGGACAAGGAATTGACGAGCGAAAGGCAGATCGACGGGAACTGCGGTGCAGATGGGAAATCGCGAGGAGGGGCAAGGGGTCTGTCGAGACCGACTACCCTTTGTGGGTTTACTCTTCGCCTTCAGTGATCGGGAAGGGGAAGAAAGAACACGAATTCTAGCAGTCAAAATGGTGATCTGGTGGTCAAACAGATCACGAGAAGGAGTCGATCTCCGACAAACTTCCTTAGGCTTTTCGCTCGTCGTCGGCGGCCACAAATCAAGGGGGGAAGGGAACCGATTGGATCGAAGGGAGAAGGAAGAAGAACAGAAGCATAACAGATGTGGTTCGGTGGAGGTTTGGTCCATCACCAAAATGAAATAAGAAAACGAAGGTAACTTACGTTGTCGGGTGACTGTTACATCGAGGGGACTGCTCTGGTGGCCTCCTTGGCTGTTCTCCTTTTGTTTAATTGGCAAAACACGAGGGATGAGGGGAAAGAAACACCGAAGTAGTAACGGAGGGAAGCGGCGATCCTCGGGTGGTGTTTGGTTGTTTCCGATTAACAGGAAGGAGGGGTGAAGGAGGGCTGTCGGTTCCCTTTTTTGTAGCCGATGGACCATTTTTGCAGTTTTGTCTTATGATTATAACAAACATGAAACTCAAATTTTGTTATTGTGATAATTGGCTTAGTGTGAATGTTTTAAATAATGCTTGATCTGATAATGATGCGAAAAGTTATGTTTCACTGGAGATTACATCATAGATGCACTTGTTTATGACTATCATATTGATGATCATATTACGATATCAATGCAAAGATTTGCTAAGATTTAAGCCTGTCTCGGAAAATATGTCAAAGCTGATGGGTTTGACACAAAACAACAATCCTATGTGCTCATACAAAACCCTAATGCTTGGATCTAGGCTTCTCTATTGTACATGCAATTCATCCAAGACTTGAAACCCTAATCTAGCATACATTTAAATTGAAATCTATGATGAACTAGTTTAGATGATACCTTTCAATGGTTGCAAGAATCCTTTGATCTTCAAGAAACTTAGTGTCACAAATGTAACACCTCTAATGGCTCACAAACACCAAGAGCAAGAGAATGATGTATAGGAGAGAGGATGAGAGGAAAAAGTCGGATCCAAGCTTCCAAGGGATCAAGTGGCCGATTTTGCTAGCCGTAGGGGTCCTTATATACTTGAGCTTCTAGGGTTTCAGTCAAAACCCTAATTGGATGACTTAGGCCCTAAGTAACTTGAGAACCTTCTGGAATAAGGCCTCCTTGGACGAAACTTAAGATGGAATCCTCCTTAAATTCATCCATGCCCTAATCCATAAGGATTCTCAGCCCAATATCAACTATCACACAATTGACAGTTTCAGTCCCCTTTAATTAATTAATGTCTTTTAGCCACAGAATTAATTCTTGTCTAATATTAATTAAACTATATGATTTTCTCTTTTAATATATTATTCATATAATATATTAATAAACCATAATAACCTCTCTTTCTCCATAAATCATCCTATCAAGTTGCTTTGGTGAAGGCAACCCAAAAGGACCATGCACAACCGGGTCAAATACATACCAAATATAGTTACAGGCTTAGACACTAATCCAACAAAAGCATCGTTATATATTTAGTGAAGTTTTCAAAAAGTTCTATGCTTTTAAGAGTATAAAAAGATCCAATTTCATAAAAAAAATTCTGAAAGATGTAGAAAATCTCATCTTAAATAGCTAATAAAAGGACATGTAGTTAACTTTGTCTTTTGCAACATCTTTAATCTACCATCAATATTTCATACATACAAGTGCTAATGATTTATGTTTATATTAAATTAGCTGCAAAATGTTAGAAATTTAGGGTATAGAAAGGCTTGGAAATTCCGAGAATCGTGTTGAACACTTTCAGATTAAAGTATTTGGGTGGTGTAACATCCCAATTTTCAAAGCCAAAAATTTCATTTTCAATTAAGTAACTCATAAAACAATTTACCCAAAAACATTACCAATGTCAAATCAATTTATAAAACTGTAACAACGTGTCTCAAAACCATATCATTAATGGTAATAAAAATCAGAGTACAATCCCAAGAAGTCTCATAGTGCGGAATCCAGTGTGTGTGTGATGTGCCGCTACCGCGCTGACTCCTTCCCCTTCGCTGAAGAGGTACCTGAAACCAAAAACTGTAAACCGTAAGCACAAAGCTTAGTGAGTTCCCCCATCATACCACATACCATACAATCACATAGCATACATACTGTCGAGCAATTCTGGGGTGCCTGACCTACCCGGTCCGGCCATTCTGGGGTGCCGACCTACCCATGTTAAGCCGTTCTGGGGTGCTGACCAACCCATGTCAAGGCATTCTGGCGTGCTGACCTACCCTTCGGTCCTAACAACCGAAATACGAGGATTGTTTCACCTCCTACTACTACTACATAATATCATATCACATAACATATTGTCAGGCATATCTGGGGTGCCCGACCTACCCTTCGGTCCTAACGACCGAACTTGGGGACTATTCTCCCCCTACTACCACCATCACATATAACATATCATGCTAGCACATAAACATATCAGGTAGTAGCAAACCTAGATTAATATCACAAAGACAATCATCTAACATACAACTCCTACTAGTGGGCCGACATTGTGGTCGTAGACCCACCGCTACTGGAAGGTAACTCACCTCAATGTCGCGTAGTATCTGCCCTGTCCTCGGCACAAAATCGACTGGTCACAACTCCCCAATCCCTACACAACAACCTTCTCCGATTACTATTGTATACTCATAACCCTTACAAGGGTCATTCCAAATCCAAGTCAAAGTCAAGGTCAAACCCTGGTCAAAGTCAACATTTGGTTGACTCGACTCGCCGAGTTGGCCCGCCAACTCGTCGAGTCCCCATAACTACCAAATGTCTTACTCTCGTCCCTATCCGTCGAGTCTAGCAAGAGCCCGACGAGTTCGCCTTCAACAACACATTGGACAAATCTTCAACTGACTCGCCGAGTTTGACCTTGAACTCGTCGAGTTCATCTCCCTCCTACGAATACATCCAGTCTATGACTCACCGAGTTGTATGAACAACTCGTCGAGTTCATCTTCAAAGGTTGGGAGATTGCCTTGAACTCGCCGAGTCTGTTCATACACTCGCCGAGTCCTATGATTCCCAGGTCCCTTTACGCGTCCAAACAACTAAGGGATTTTCCATCCTAACAACTGGTCCATCCACAGAAGGGATTTGGTGGTCAAAACACCCCTGCTCGCCGAGTCCCAAGAACGACTCGTCGAGCCCAACCTTGACCATTACTATACAGTCGATTTAAATGGGTCTTAACACCTCAAAACCATAGATTCGGCCTTCTAATGTCCATTTTGCACGTAAAGCTCCAAACTTGGTGCACATGCATGAGGTCTTTGGCTCAAAAAGCCATAAAAGGTGTTCTACAAGATGCATGGGGCTCTCATGGCCTTAAAGTTGGCACCTTTATGCCATGAGACCCCTCCAATGACTCAGATCTGAAGTCAAGATTCCATGCACACCTCTCAAATCAGAAAATGGCTTGGAAAGCCCTAAATGTACCTAAAGTCCAAGCTTCTAAGGATGAATAACACATGGAAGACCAAGACAGGGGTATTTTACCTTGATTGAGCTGGAAGTGGACCAAAATCTCTGGATCTCCAAGCCTCAACTCGAACTCTCAAGCTTCACAATTCACCAAATGCACCAAAATGGCCTTAGAACACACAAAAACAGCTAGGGTTTCGATATACAGCTCTCTGGGAGTGATAAGGACAATGGAGGCTGAGATAAGGTGTTTCAATAGGGTGCAAACCCTCAAATTTAGGGTTTCACTCAAACAACACCTACTCGCCGAGTCGGTCTCCGACTCGTCGAGTATGTCACTTAAACTTCCCGTGGATCCCGACTCTACTCGACGAGTTGGGCCACCAACTCGTCGAGTCCCAGAGAAAATACATACAATTCTTGAATAAAATACATACCAGGAATCACGTGTTACAGATGGTACTCCCAATCTTCTTTAATCGGATAAGACTCAAAGAGACAAGAACAAAGAGTGTTTTGATGATGTTTCGTATGTACCAGCAAATGAGACCAAAAGCCAATTTCATGATCTCTGTCTGAAAACTGTCATATGACAATTTCAAACTGTCACAAACCAGCCAGGGGCTCTGCCCCCGGACCCCCATTCGTTCAGGGGCTTCGCCCCTAAATGACAGTGCACTTTGAAACTTGATCAAACTTAAACTAGTGTGTCTTCACACCTTCCTTACTTGTTTAATATTTATCAAGTCACTTTTGGTCAACAAATTAATCCTATTACACTTAAATAACATTGATGATAACAAATCACCAACACCAAATAGCTATGATCTTGTATATAATAGTCTTTTGGTTATTTTCGTCTAAAATATCAAAATTCTTTTCATAAACTATTCTAATAACTAATCTTCAAGTTTTCTAAACTGAACCTTGTGTTAATTTGTCACTTTCCCACTTACTTGTTTTAATATATATATATATATATATATATATATATATATATATATATATATATATATATATATATATATATAAGGGTATCGATTCTCATTGCCTCAAACATAAATACAAGAAAGGTATATAAACAAATACAATAGGCCATTTGGGCTGAGCCTTACAACTATACAAGAATACATGGGCCTATACATAGAAGTATACACTAACATCCCCCCACAGTTGTATCTGGAGGAGGATTCCGGACATTCAAACTGGTCTTGAAGTCGTTGAATAATTGAGTCGGGAGGCCTTCGGTGAAGATATCCGCATACTAAGCGGAAGATGGAATGTGGAGCACCCGAACCAGACCTCTGGTGACCTGATCATGCACAAAGTCAATCTCGATATGTTTGGCGCGTTGATGTTGGATCGGGTTCGCTGACATGTAAACCGAGCAGATGTTGTCACAATACACAATCATGGATTTAGCAGGCGGACATTAAAGCTCACGAAGAAGGTTATGAGCCCAGTATGTCTCGGCTACGACATTAGCAACACCGCGATACTCAACTTCGACACTAGACTGAGAAATAACACCTTGCTGCTTGGATGACCATGAAATGAGATTGTCACCTAGAAATACACAATAACCTGAGGTAGAGCGGTGAGATACGGGACATCCGCCCTAGTCGACATCAAAATATGCAACAAGGTCTGATGAGGGAGACACGTAAAGCTGAAGTCTGTGGTCTAAGGTTCCCCGAATGTAGTGTAGATTGTGATTCAGGGCATGTAGATAAGGCTCCCTAGGATCATGCATGAAAAGACAGATCTGCTGAACCGCAAAAGCAATATCCGGGCGAGTGAAAGTCAAGTACTGAAGAGCGCTGGCGAGACTATGATATAGAGATGAAAAAAATAGCCTGGCCTTGGTAATTCCATCAACAGAAGGACCCGTGCTATCCAGATTATGAGTGGTCTCAGTAAGTGTCCTAGCTGGATTACATTGGAGCATATGAGCACGAGCTAAAATCTCTGAGACATACTTTCTTTGAGAGAGAAAGAGTCCATGTGAGGTACGAGTGGAAAAAATA